TTTATTAAAAGTCAGGATCTAAAACAACCAACTGCAATCATGGTCCTGAGAATGAGAAAACTAATAAGCAACCCGTGGGACAGTGGCAGTGATCCCATTTAAAATCCCCTGCACCTTGCAGGCACACATCTGTGCTAGCGATGGAATGATAAGTCTGGATCTGCTTTAGAAAATATCCATAAAGAAAAGAAAAAAGAAAGAAACATAATATCCACAAAGAAAAGAAGAGACTATTTGAAAGTCCACTTCATATACTTCAATTCTATAACTTGAACAACTATTTCTAAGATGAGAATATGTAATCTATTAACTAGTGATTTCTTACTGTTAATTTTTTAAATTTTGTTTACTTGTACCCTTTTTCTGTTTTTTTCTTTTTCTCCTTAAATAAAAAAAAAAAAAAAAAGAAGAGAGAAATGATCCACCAAGAAAAATGGGAAGGAGCATTTTGAAAGCAAAGGTAAAAGATCCTGATAACTACTGAGGTGTGGTGATAAACAGATGTGAAAGCACTGTACTTGTCACTCTATGTGTTTTCAAAATTGTTTCACAATAAACACTCAAGAAATCAGATCTGGGCTGAGGATTTAGCTCAATGGCATAAGCACCTGCCTTGCAAGCAGGCGGTCGTGAGTTCGATCCCCAGTACCGATAAAAAGGAAAAAGAAAAAAAAAATGTAAAAAAAAAAAAAAAGAAAGAAAGAAATCAGATCTAAGGGGTTGGGGATTAAGCTCAGTGGCATAAGTACCTGCCTTGCGCAGTCCTGAGTTCAATCCTTGGGGGGGCGCGGAATCAAGTCTAGGCACGACATGCCTGTAACCCCAAACCCTAGAGAAGCTGAGACAGGGGTATCACTGAGAATTTGAGGTCAGCCTGACCTACAGTAAGTTAGAGAGCTGAACGCCAGCCTAAACTATACAGCAAGAGGGGATGCTGTCTAAATAAATAAATAAATAAATAAATAAAAGTGCTACATTTTGAAGTTCCCAGTAACAACCCACAAAATAAAACACCATTTATCAGACTGGCATCCTAGAGTAGAATGTTGCTTACACATCATGAAGAAGAAACCAGACCAGTGTTGTTAAAGTTTGACACAGAAACCAGAAATTAAAATATAATGCTGCTCCTTAAAACTGTAAAGGCTGTAGGAGCCAAAGCTTTTACATCTTTTCACACACATACTTAAATTCTTCCACAAGGTTTATGACAGACCCAGGGAAACCATACCACCATGCCTTGCAATTCTGGTCAACATGGCAAAGGACACCATTACTGGGAGAGCTGGGGGTGAGAGCATAAGAGTGCAGGGGAATTAAGTGGAACTAGAAACCACAGTGAAGGCTGACTATTCTCAAAGTCACTACCCTGTTCAGACAACTCTCCACCAAGTCTCAGATGTCACAGAGGTTACTGTGTAGCAAATCCACCAGAAGTGTAACAGCAGGAGTTTGAGCAAACCCACAGAAACCAACCCCTTGAGGAGGCAACTCCTTAGATACTGTTTAAAATCTTTAAGTGGTGGGGAAAAAAAATGGAAAACCCACAACTACCTAATTTAGTTTCATCTATGGAGTTTCAGGGTCAATACAGAATCCACCTATCCTAAACTTTTAATTCCTTCCAATTCCTCTGAAAAATGAAATTGTAACATTTCTAACTTTACAGTCCAGAGATTAATTTCACAAATGTAACAATATTTGTTTATAATAAGCAAAATACAAATCTACTAAACTATTTTAAAACTTAATGTAGTTAAACCAAGGATGGTCACACATGTCTGTAATCCAGGACTTGGGAGGCTGAGGCAAGAGGACAGCCAGGAGCTCAAAGTCAGTCTGGGATACATAGTGAGTTTAACGCTTGTCTGAACTATAGAGTGAGACTCTGTCTCAAAACAAAAACAAAAACAAAGGCAAAAACAAAGAGAAAGACAAAGACAATGAATGTATTTAAACCAGATACAGGGTTATATACTGGTAATCCCAAAACTCTGGGAAGGTGAGAAGGAGGACGATTCCAAGCTAGAGCCTTCCCTAAGCAACTTAATGACAGTAAGACTCTATCTCAAAATAAAATAAACAAGGACTAGGGTCTGAGGATGTAGCTTAATGTGAAGGGCCTGAGTTCTATCCCATTAGTGTATGCAGTAGTATACACAGTCCACCTATTGCTTCCTCAAACTCTTATTTCAGTACTCCCTCAAATTAATTTACTTAGCAAACTGCTCAGTAACACACTGAACAACTGGAAGTAGTAAAACAATTTTAACTTTTCTACAATCATATAGAATGTCTTTTCATTATTCTAAATTAGAAAATACAAATGGGGTGGGGGGAAAGACATCTATAATCCCAGCACTTGGAAGGCTGAAGCTGGAGGATCTCTATGAGTTCCAGGCCAGCTTGGGCTAAACAATAATTTCAAGGACAGTCTGAACTACATAGCAAGACCATGTCTCAAAAAATTATATATATATATATATATATATATATATATATAATTAGAAATATAGTATAAAGGAGTCTTATCGGACTAGGTATATATCTCAGTGGTACAAGCACCTGCCTGGCAAATATAAGGTCCTGAGTTTGATTCTCAGTAAAAAAAAATAGTCTTGTTTAAGACATTCTATTCCAAAGATTCCTTTTAAACACAATTAAAAGCTTTAGTGTGTAGAAAAAATTGAACCACACCACAGCCTTATAATTCAGCACACACACCTGAAATTTGGGTCTATTCCCATCCTGCCATTAGCTGAGTATTACCCTACAGACATTTACTATTTCCCAACCAAAGCCATCTGATGAAAGGGGCTGTCTCTCGCCAGGCCACCTACAGTGGCCCATACCACAGCAGCCAACTTCAAAGCTGTTAGTGACCAGAAGTGCACCTGGAGATTCAGATGACAAATGTAGCTTTTAATATGCAGCAGACCACGCCAGGTGTGCTGGCACACGCCTATAATGTCAGCACTTGGAAGGCTGAGGTAGGAGTAAGTTTGAGGCCGCCTTAGCTGTATAGTAAATTTAAGGTCAGCCTTAAAGGCATGGCAAGTTCCTATCTTTGAAAACGAAAGACAAAAAGGCAGCAGATCAGCTGCCCCCACGCTGGACACACAGCAGTACACACAATCGACCCATTGCTTCCTCAAGATCTTGTTTCAGTGTCAAGGAGGTGGGCACAGCTGACCTCATCTAGACCCAACAGGTATTTCTTACTGTGGGTCAAGGTCAAAAGGCACTGAAAGTCACTTCTCCAAGGAAAGTACAGTGAATGAGAAGTGGAATCAGACATGTTGCTCTCATGGCTGCTGGCTCCATGACCTTAATGCAGTTTTTATCCATTCTGACCCTCCAATGCCTCTCTTCGGCAAGCTCACTGGATCAACCAGAAAACAAAGTGGAAGGATGACTTTCTCCAAGGTTCTTCATTTTTTCCAAGCTTCCAACTCTTAAACTCATAACCTGAAAAGGCCTACAGTTTCATGGCTGACACTGTCAGGCTTTTACAGCTGGGCTACAAGATTCCCACACTAGCTAAGGGGCTGATAGCTTCTGCACTTGGGGAAGGAAGTGGCTGCCTGGGCTCCCCTGTAAGTCAACATCTGCCCTGGGGACTGTGGAATCCCCCAGGTGCAGTATTAAATTTTTCTTCAACCAAACTACTCAAAACCTAGAAGGCTTTGCAAGTGGGTCGAAGAGTCTTGAAGAAGCTTTCTAAGTGACACTGGCGAGGGGAGGGAGCTGGCGACAAAATTCACCAGGCATAGAGCTAACTGCGCACAAACACAGCCGCGGGGCCAAGCGTGCAGGGATCTAGGTGGATCAAGGAGGTTCGTAAACCCCACGTTTCAGAGCAGGTCTGGAGATAAAAGAGTTCATAAAGCTCCCCACACCGGGCCAGGTAGACAGGCCAGGGGGCAGCGCGGGGACTGGAGTCTGGCGGACAAAGGCGATCAGGAAGGCAGTGCTCTGTCCCAGTGGCGGGGCAGCCCGGAAATTTAGGAGCCACGTGCCTGGAGGAAGAAAGCGAAAAAGCAGCAGAACACTTGACCGTTTTCTTGGCCCAACAAGTAACGGCCCCTCCGTCTCCACTGAAAATGGGGTGGGGGTTGGGATGGTGACTGCTTGAAGTTTTTTGGAACTTTACCAGGAAGAGGAGCTGACGAGTACGAAGGGGGCAGGAGAGGCCGAGGCATCTCCTTACCTCTCCGAGTAACCAGTAAAAGGCAATTAGCACTTCAATAGCAGGACAACGTGTGCAGAATGAAAATGAGCCGCGCGGGGTCTGGGGACCCAGGGTAGCGCTCCCCATTCCTCGCAGTCCGCGGTCCTAACCGCCATCGGGAGTCGCCCAAATTCAGCATCCGCTGACTCCCTCCGGGCAAGGGCGACCAGGCGCCGGCAGGAGGGACCGGGCCCCGCGCGCCCCAGGCCCCGGGCTCCCGCCGGCCCGCGCGGCGGCCAGGGCGCCGGCCTCGGCCTACAGCGCCGCCCGCCCGCCCGCCCGCCGGGGCGCAGGCCCGAGGCGCCGGGAGGCCCAGGCCGCGCGGGGCGCCGGCCGCTGACGGGGCCTGGAGGCCGGGCTGCGCGTCCACCCGCGCGGGCTCCGGGCCCCGGGCTTCGGACCCGACCCGGACCCGGACCCGGACCCGGACCCGCCCCGCCCGGCCGCCAACCGCCGCGGACCGGGGGCGCGCGCCTCGCAGGACTCACCGGGGCCGGCTCCCGAGTACATGGTGGCGCCGCCGAGGGGCTCCGGGGCCGAGGGCGGCCGCCGCGCCACGGGCCCCGACGCCGCGAGCCGCGAGGGAGCCGCCGGCCGCTCGATCCGCCCCGGCGCGGCCGCCTCGCCGAACAGGTTTACCCGACGCGGCCGGGGCGGCGGGCGGAGGCGGAGGCGGTGGCGGCGGGGGAGGCGGCGGCAGGGGAGGGGGAGGGGCGGCGGGGCGGGGCCGGCGCGCGGCTGAGGCCCGGGGCGGCGCGCGGGCGGCGGGGCCGGGGGCGCGGGCTCGGAGCCCGGGCGGAGTCCTGGCGAGTTGGCGGGGGAGGCGCGGGCGGGGCGCGCCGCAGCCCCGCGGGAAGGCGACGTCCTCCTCTCGCCGCGCCGGCGGGGCCGGCTGGCCCTGCTCCCGGGGACGGCGGAAGGGGGAGGGGCGGCTGCTGGCCGGGCGCGGAGCCGTCTGCCGAGGGCCGCGCTCCGCTCCGCGTCCCAGCCTCGGCCTGGCGCCTTCTTTAAGTTATTAACGAGCCGCGAATGCCGAGAAGCTCCCTCCCGACCCGGAGCTTGAACTTGGACGCGGCGCGGCCCTCGCACACGACCACACCGCCACCTCCCGGCGCGGCCGGAGAACCCACGTAATCCGTGAAAGCACAAAGTACAGTAAGTTTTCGCACAATTTAACAGTGGTCCATGGTCAGATCAGCCAAGGCTCCCTGTACCTGCGGTCAGAGGCGCCCTGAACCCCTATGCTCCGAGGGCCCCGCCATCCCTCCCCACCCCAGCGTGTAGCTCTGCTCCTCACAGACACCCACTTGTTGCTGAAATGTCCTTCCTTCTTTGTAGATGCCTCTGGTCCTTCAGATCTCCAGAGTCTGTTTTGGGAGCCTTATTCTGGGGGAAGTGGTTACCTCTTCTCTTAAGTAACGAGTTATTTTGAAGACGAAGAAGTACACCCCAAAGCTCACCATCTTTTAACATATACCCAAAACGATTTGGTCCCTCATCCTATAAAGTACTTATCTCTATTTTGGATGCAAGGTCCATGTTGGGGACATAACCCAAAAGATAAACATGGGCCCTGCTTTCATTGAGCTCTGCCTTCACTACATTTATTCCTGTTTAGCAGTCCCCAAGAACAGCCCAGGCTAGGTAGGAAAACCAGCAGTCCCTTCAGAGGTTCAAAAGAAGTGATTGTGTCTTTACCAAATGGCTGATATAAATGGGTCATAAATGGGCCAGCTACTGGGGAGGCTAAGGTGGGACGATGGGAGTTTCGAGGCCAGCCTGGGCAATTTATCAAGACCCTGCATTAAAATAATTTTAAAGGGGCTGGGGATTTAGCTCAGTGGCATAAGCACCTGCCTTGCAAGCAGGTGGTCGTGAGTTCGATCCCCAGTACCGATAAAAAAAGAAAAAGACAAAAAAAAAAAAAAAATAATTAAAAAAAATAATTTTAAAAGGTTGGGTGGGCTGGGGATTTAGCTCAGCAGAATAAGCGCCTGCCTTACAAGCACGCAGTCGTGAGTTAGATCCCCGGTACCAAAAAAAAAAAAAAAAAAAAATGTGGGAGTGGGCAGAATGCGCAGCCGGTCCTGTTAGTACCCCTCCGCCATCAGAAGGGAAGTTGAGCAGCTGTGTTGCAGAATGGAATCCTGCTGCAGAAGTGCTCACTCTGCAGCTGAGTGTGGCAGTGTGGATGGAGCTCAGCGGAGAGAAGCCACCAGCGATATGGATGATCCATTCATAAAAGTTCCAAAGCAGAAAAAAAAAAGTTCCAAAGCAGGCAAAATCAAATGATATTGTTTAGGGATGCAATATCAAGTAGCGAAAGTTGACAGAAAAGCAAGAAGGTGGTTACCATAAGCATCAGATTGCTGGCAGGCCCTTGGGGTACCATTGTGTTCCACCAATCTGACTGGTCCCTCTGTGGCCACCCCTTAAGCAGCACTTGGACATTTTATGTATTTTTCTTTGCTGTGTTGCATGATAATGTTTAAATGATCAAGAATATGGGGCTGGGGACTTAGCTCGGCAGCTAAAGCACTTGCCTGGTAAATGTGAGTTCGATCCCAGGTACCCCCCCCCCCAAAAAAAATCAAGAATATCACTCCCCTCTTTATGAACTATGCAACCTCGTATCATGTTCCCAACTCCCAGATGCCCACTATTCTGCCTCCGTCTTCTGCCCTAAACCCCTAAGAGGTCTAACTGCTCTGCGCTACTAGTGAGAAAGTGTGGTGAGGCTCTGTAAGGGGGAGCCAGGCTCCGGGAAACTTTTTTTACCAGGCCAGATTCTCTTTAAATACTTCATTGTGTGACTTCTCTACGGAGCATGGACACTGTGGCCCCCTGCTGGTAGATGGACATCACAGCCTGTCCTTTTCTGCAGGTCCCAGGTAGCACGTCCTGCCTCCCTAGGCTGGGACACACAGTGTTTGATGCCTGCCCTCCTCCCAGCTAAGCCTGTCCTCTCCCAGTACCAGCCCCCTCGGGCAGTTGCAGTTCACACCCCTCCAGGCCCACATCCCAAACCAAGGACATCCTGTCTCTTCTCCTCCCAATATATTAGTGCCTCCCCACAGCCAGGCAAACAGATTTGTCATCCACACATCCTCCTGAACCAGCCCTCCCCCGCCAGCTTCCCCCATCCCACTAGCAGTGATTCCACATGCCCCTCGTTTTTGAGTCCTCTTGAGACATATCTAGAACCCTTTCTAATCCTTGCAGCACTGATCCTTCATCCCTGTCCCACCTCAGCCAACACAAGATCACATATGGGTCTGTCTTCTCTTTTAAAGCCACTACTGCAAGCACAGATCCCCACCCTCATTTCCTCATTGGTTCTAATTACCTCCCAAATACCCTTCCTCCAGATGCTAACAAGCTGGGCATGGTGATACTTGTCTATAATCCCAGCATTGGGGAGCCTGAGGTAGGAGAATTTCCATCAGTTGGAGGCCAACCTGAAATATGCAGTGAGACTGTCTCAGAAAACAAAATCTCGGGGCTGGGGATTTAGCTCAGCAGCAATAAGCGCCTGCCTTGCAAGCAGGCAGTGATGAGTTCGATCCCTGGTACTGATAAAAAAAAAAAAAAAGAAAACAAAATCTCCACAAAAACACTATGTACTAATGGCACATCAAAATATGCCCCCCCTCCCCCGCAAGGAGTACAGTGGCACAGATTAGAATCCTATCATTCTGGAACACTGAAGCAGGAGGGTCACAAGTTCAAGCACTACCTGGGCAATTTAGTGACTTAGCTAGAGGCTGATTTAAAAAAAAAAGTGCTAAATATGTAACTCAGTGCAAAAGCCTTGGATTCAATCCCCAGTAGCACAAAAAGCAAAACAAAACATAAAAAAAATGCTACACATAATTGACCAACAGGGAAATGCAAATTAAAACCACAATAAGAGAATAATCCATACCTATCAAGTATCAGAATGACTAAAATAAAAAGTAGTGCCAGCACCTGATGCTGGGAGGACACTGTGGAAAACCAGAACCATGCATCACTTGGGATGTCTGTAGGGCCACCCAGGAAATGGTTTCCAGGACGCTAACCAGGCAGCCACCACGTGACAGGGCCGCTATGCCCCTCGACATTTGCCCACTCAGTGACAATTTTGTTTATGTACAAATCTATGTATGAATGTTTATAGCAATGTTTCTGTGATATCCCCAAGCCAGACACAACCGGATGTCCTTCAGCAGATGAAGGGTTAAATGAACGGTACACCCATGGCATGGAGTCACACTTGGCAACAGAAGAGGATGAATCACTGAGTACACAGCTACATCGGAGAAGCTCAAGAAAGTGGTGCAGGATGAAAACCATCCTTTCTAAAAGGTCACATACTGTGTGGTTCCTTTGAGGGGATCAGGGTCTTGCTATGCAGCCCAGCTGGCCTTGAACTTGTGGCGCTCCTCCTGCCTCATCGTCCCAGCCGCTGGGATTACAGACATGCACCACGATGCCCAGCTGTGGGCTTCCATGCTCAAAATAACAAAGTGACCAAGTGGAGATTGGGGATTAACAGGCTAAAAGGGAAGGAAGTAGGTGTGGCCACAGAAGAGTCTGGGAATCCTTATGTGGTGGATACTGTACCACAGCCTTGTGAATATCGTTGTCATTTTTGTGCTGTTGTGACACAGGATGTTACCTCTGGGGATACTAGCTAAAGGGTACCTGAAATCTCCGTTATTTCTTACATTTGCATGTGACTCTGCAATAAGTAAATTTAACTTTAAAAAGCGCTTAGCTGGGAAATGCAGCTCATATTCTGTTTTCTTTTTTGGTTTTTTTGGTTGGTTGGGGTTTTTTGTTGGTTTGTTTTGTTTTTTTGAGACAGGGTTTTGCTAGGCAGTTCAGTCTGTCCTTGAACTCACTTGTTGGCCCAAACTGGTTTTGAACTCACTGTGATCCTCCAGCCTCACTCAGCCTCCTAAGTGCTGGGATTACAGGAATGCACCACCACCACCACCATCCCACTTTATTTTGTTTTGTTTGCAAGTCAGTCTATTTCTTTTCATCTGCATTTTTAAAAATATGATTTATTTCTGCTTTTTGTTTGTTGGGGTATTTGTTTGTTTGCTTGTTTTTTGAGATAGAATCTTGCTATATAGTTCAGGCTGGCCATGAACTAACTTACGTAGTCCACACTGGCCTTGAACTCATGGTAATCCTCCTGCCTCAGCCTCCCAAATATTGGGACTACAGGCGTGTGCCACTATGTCCAATGACTGATAACCTCCTCTTCACTTCATTTTTTTTTTTTGGTGACAGAGCCTCACTATGTAGTACAGTCTCACCTTGAACTTTGTGATCTTCCTGTCTCAGCTTTCCAAGTGCTGTTTACAAGCACAAGCTCAGATTTCTTAAATAAGACAAATAAATGTACCTTGCAGTACACCACCAAGGATGGGGATGGAGGCTGGTGGTAGACCACTTGCCTGGCATACATGAGGGTATGGGTTCAATCCTCAGCAGCATGGGAGACCGGAGAGTATGGCAAAGCACTCATTTGAATTCACAGGGGAAAAAATGTATTTTTAGGAAATTATGTGCCAGACGTGGCATCACACACAACCTAAGATACACAGTAAGCAGAAGTGGGGGAACTGCAAATTTAAGGCTGACCTGGTAATTTAGTGAGACCCAATCTCAAAAACAAAACAGAAATGGCATTTGACCCAGCTGTACCACTCCTGGCATAGTCCTGAAAGAACACTAAGCAGTGTACTATAATGGTACATGCACATTCATGTTTATAGCAGTGCAATTCACAGTAGCTAAACTATAGCCTGGGTGCCCATCCACAGATAGAAATATTACTCTGCCATAAAGGAAGAATGGAACCATGTCATGTGCAGGGAAATGCATGGAACTGCAGATCATTGTGTTCAGCTAAGTCAAACAGGCTCAGAAAGTCAAAATCACATGTTTTCTCTCATATGAGAAGCCAAATATATAACTAATAGATAATATAAAAGACAGGTGATAGGAAAGTAGGAGGCAGAGTTTTGGAAACCAGGAAGGGGACAAAAGGAAAAGGGAAGAAAAGAGAGCAGGATAATGAGATAGGAAAAAAAGACCAGCGGGCACAGTGACTCACCTGTAATCCCAGCAGTCCAGGAGGCCGAGGCTGGAAAGTTGGAACCCACATTGGGCAATTCAGTGATTTCATGAGACCCTGTCTCAAATTACACAGTAAAAAAATGGGATGCAGTTGTGGCTCTGTGTGAAGGCCATAGGTTCAATCCTCAGTACCACCCAAAACAAAAACAAAACTAACCAAGCTATGTGAAATGCATTTATCAATTTATCACAGTGAGCCTCTCCATTCTATAGTACATTATAAATACACATAAATGAATGAAAAGAAGGAAGAAAGGAAGGAGAGAAACAGAGAGAGAGAAAGCAAGCTGAGGCTTTAGCTCAATAATATAGCACTTGCCTGGCATGCCCAAGGTCCACACCAAAAATGGTTTCCATCAAATTAGGAAATTTTTTTCTATTCCTTAAAAGATGCCATAAAACTGAGTATGGTCACATACACCTATAATCCCAGCACTTGGAGGGGCTAAGGCAAGATTACCAAGAGTTTGAGGCCAGCCTGGGTCACACATTGAACTCAAGGCCAGCCCTGAGCTACATAGTGAGACCCTGTCTCAGGTCACCTCACTATAAAAGGAATAATTAAATTCTGAAGCTATGGTGAGGGTGTTTTGATTATGTCGTGATGAAAAGGAATCTTTGTCTTTTAGAGAATCATTCTGAAATATTTTCCAACACCAAGAATGTATGATGGCTGGAATTTGCTTCAGGGCAAGAAGAGAAGGTTCCTGTGCAAGGCCAGCACTGGGCACGTGGGGCTCATTACACTGCTGTGTTCCTGTCTGTATTCAAAATTTTCAGTGTGACTAGTTATAAGAAAGCATCATAAAAGGGCGAGGTTGGGGTGTGGCACAGGCCTGTAACCCCAGCACTGTGGGAGGCTGAGTAGGAGGACCCCGAGTCTGAGCCCAGCCAGGGGAATTTAGTGGCTCATTGAGGCCTTGTCTTAAAATAAATAGAAGAAGGACTGGGATGCAGTTTAGAGCAAAGGTTCTGGGTTCAATTCCCAGGAGGGGAAAAAAGGATGGAAGGGAGGAAAGAAGGAAGGAGGAAAGGAAAGAAGAAAAAAAAAAGGAAGGAGTGAAGGAAAGAAGAAAGGAGGGAAGGAAAGAAAGGAGGAGGGAAGGAAAAGGAAAAGAAAAAAGAGGAGCTGGGATGTAGTTGGGCAGGAAGGCCTGGGACTCCATTCCCAGCCTCCCTCCCTACACACACACACACACACACAAACGAGGCATAGCGCACACCCGTAATTCCAGCTACATGGAAGGCGGAGGCTTGAGAATGGAGTGTTTGAGGCCAGCCTGATACTGAGGCCCAGTCTCAATAGAAAGCAATAAAAAGGGTTGGACATGTAGCTCAGTTTGATCCCTAGTGTCACCCTCACGCTCCAACTCACGCTCTCACACACAAGTGCAAATGAGAGAATGAGAGAAAATATTTATATCCTCCACATAGCCAACAATAAACAAGAACTCACCTGGAGTGAGTAAGATTTCATTTTTTTAAAGGAAGAAAAACAATAATCCAATAGAAAGTAGGCCAGGCATGGTGGTTTATGCCTTTAATCCCAGCACTTGGGAGGCTGAGGCAGGAGGATCATTAAGAGTTGAAGACTAGCCTGCCTGAATTACACAGCAAGACCTTGTCTCAAAGAACCAAAAAAAGAAGGCAAAATAGGTAAAATCCTAGAATAGACACATTTCAGGAAAAAAAACCTTAAATGGTCATATACACATGAAAAGAGTGACAGGCTCATTAGTACTCAGAGAAATTGGTATTTTTATCACCGTCACAGGAGCCACTAGCTGTGGAAGGTGTCTAGTGTGAGGAGTGGACCTCTGATGACCTGAGGCAGTGTCTCTCTCTTACACACACATACACATATGCACACACATTGTTGTAGCTTGGCATAACTGATGCCATCTTGAGCCCTGCATTTAACCGGTGCCCTGTGTTTGACCCAAGAGAATGGAAAATTACTCAGGGTATAAATCCCATGAGAAAAGCAGAATGAGCTGCATCCACAGGAGAAAAATTAACCTGCTCAACAAAAGGAGCAAGATACAGGTGTCAACCAAAATTAGTGTAAGAGTTTAACTAAACTCTTCCCAACAGGATATCTTCTGTGATTCTCTCTTTTAAAAACTCTGTAACTTTCCAATTTGGAGCCACTTGTTTGGACCCTGAACAGGGAAGGGGGGTGTCTATATATGAGTGGTCCTGAGCTCAGTTAACTAAATTCCAAATTTATCAATTTGGCTGCTTGGATTCCTATATTGTTCACAAACCCACGGCTCAGGCCCTTCCATCACTCTAACTCCATTGCTGCGTCCAGTATTACTGGTTCCCACACACCCTTTCTCATCATCTCCTGCCCAGCGTTGATGCTTGTACCCCCCCCCAGCCGCCGCCCACCCCTGTTCACTCTCCAAAGGATGTTTGATGGTGTTGCTCTCTCTATGCGACATGTTCTACCACCCTGCTGTTTGTGGTTCAAGACAGGCAGTGTGGCTGTGTGTCTTAAACCATCCCTACCCAGCTTGGGATGCTACTGCGGGCCCTGCCATCCCACTCCTGTGTCTCTTGTCCTTGCTGTACCCCAGCCTGTGGCTGAGGGTCTGAGGAGAGACCAATCAGGATGGCGGCTTAGAGATCCATTCGACCCAGGGTCACCCCTTACCAGCTCCACTGAGCCCTCATCCCCTTCAGAGCAGGGGGCAGCAGGAAGAGTGAGTGTGTTTCCACCACACCTGCCTAGCTTCTCCCTCCTGGGGGGCCTGGCCTCCTTTCCCTGAAGAGGTGTGAGCTAGGTTCCCCACCCCAAGGGACTGGAATGCCATCCTTGCTGAGAACTGGGATGACAGGACCTCACAGGCCAGTGGATACTCTGTAAGTTAGGGCCCAACCCTTGCCCAAGCCCTCTGTTCTGGGATCCTGTGTCCTCCCTGGGGCCCCAAAACCACAAGACGCCAGTCAGAATGGAGGGGCATCTGGTGTCCCTGTGGTCACATCACAGCACTGGAATCAGTAGGATGAGTGGCAGGGTTACTGTTTCAAACCTCTTTGAATGTATGTACCCCCAAATTCTTTCATTCCCAAGGTGATGAGGGCCCTTGGGAGGTGATCAAGTCATGAGGTCAGAGCCTCTATCTCTGCAGTTAGTGTCCTGAGGAAGGAGCCAACAAGAGCCACCAAGCAAGGACACAGTCAGCAGGTACCACTTGTGACCAGGAGCCCAGCCCCCCCTCCTGTGCCTTCCCTTCCTTTCCCCTTCTCTTCTTTTCTTTCTGGGGTCAGGGTCTTGCTCTGTGGCCCCGGGTGGTCTCAAATCCCTGAGCGATCTTCCTGCTTTGTCCTCCTGAGTGTTTGGGCCTGGCAACTCCACTTGCAGTTGTTTTCAGCCAGCCCCTCACTGTATGGCACTTTTGACCTCAACCCTAATGGGCTGAGGCATTTTCATGACAAAGGAAGAGTCCTGCTTGGTGCTTCTTGAAAAAGCAGGCTGAGAGTGGTTCTTAGAAGGGACAACTCCACAACCCATCCAAACTTGTATTGTCTGCTGAGAGACACGGTCAGTCACTATTAGCATAATAGCTTCCGCACCTGTTCTAGACATTGCACGAGTGTTTACTCATTCAGTCTTTAGTCTACAATTGGGAAACTGAGGCAGAAGGACCATACAGTGAATGCTGAACCCAGTTGCTAATCTCCATGTGTCACCGGCTACCTGCCACAAGGCAGAGTGAGTGGGCACAGCACAGCAGTGCATGCTGGGTTAGTCTCTGGGCTTCTGCTGACTCAGATCCACTGAATACACTTGGCATCAGTAGTCTTGGAACACTTGTTCATAAACTCTCTGTGATCTGAAATATTTCTACCCCCCTCACACATTAAGTTGACACCTAAAATATTACGAGTTAAATAGTTACAAAGAATATCACTTCTAGCATATTGTAAATATTGACACTTAAAAAATAAAACTGTCATATCACTTTAAACAGTGTAGCCAGATGGACTATAAATACTACATTGATTTGATGGCCCACGTAATTCTTTCAAACAGCCCAGGAGCCACCTCTTCTTTAACACGTGCAATATTTTATGCTTGCGAAACCCATATTCCTGTTTCAATTCTTCCACAAGTGTTTATCCTTGGGTAACATTTTACATCTGAAAGTCTCATTGATTACATAGTTCTCTACAATAAAATGTATTTATGAGGGCTGAGGACATAACTTGGAGGCAGAATACTTGCCTAGTGTGAGTAAGGCCCTGGGTTCAGTTCCCAGAACTGTAAAAACAAATAACAGTAGTGTGTTGGTCACTTGTCTCTTTGCTAAGACAAAATACCCAACACCCAAAATTAAGGAAGGACAGCTTTATTCAGCTCACAGTTTGAGGAGATTTCAATCCATACTCAGCTGGCTCCAAGGCGGAGTGGCACTTGTCAGAGGACTACACTTCATGGTGGTGGAAAACAGCAAAACAACAAGAGCAAAAGGGAGGAGCATGGAGAAAAGACTCCTCCTGTTCCTTTAGGACACCCATCCTAGGGTGGATGTAGCACTCACACCGGTAATCCCAGCATTGGACCATGAATCAATCAGACTCTAGACTTCTGGGAGAACATGGACGACAGATAGCAGCAGCTATGGAGGCTCGCTGAAAGACCCAGCTTAGAATTCAGGAATGGTGCGGAGTAAGGAATCATAAGCAAGTGGAGATATGCCCTGCTGACCCAAGAATGAACTGGGCTGAGAGAAACCAACTGGGAATGCAATCCTGGTGCTACAACAGGAACAGAAAAGCCTCAGTGTGGAAGCTGGAGCCCATGGCATTGGAAGCCGCGATTTGGGTTTCCCGCCGCCGCTGCTGCATCTGCATCGGCTCAGCAGGGAGAGAGACGAGCGAGAGCTCTGAGAACAGGAATTGGTGAATGGAATTGAAAGCAGGACGGGTGGGGAGCTGTGCATTGACTTGTGGTGAGTGAAAGAAACTGGCTCTCTTCCATGGTTTAGGAGACTCCAACAGAGGACATTCTGGGATCGGGCAGACTTGTGGGAACAGGGCGCTGCAGTGACTTCAGCCACATATCCCCCTCTCAAGCGGGATTGGTGAGAAGGGCCTAGCCTACGTGATGCTGCTGGCTGAGACCCAGTAGGCTAGCAAAACCCAGATCCCAGCGCCTAAAGGTGACCTGGAGGGGTGGGCCCTCCATAGGCTGCCTGGTCTGCAACTTCCTGGTGTGCTGCGGTGGGCGGGAACACCTAGCCCACGCAATTCAATCAGACTGTGGCTGACAGGGAAGGAAGCTGGGCCTCCTATATATGCTTGCATATATAAGGAACAAAGAACATGGGAAGAGGCAACAAGAAAGGGTCCTTGGCCCCCAATCCTGAGAAAGAGGCAGTAGCAGACACAGCACCAATAGATATAAAGCGCTATCTCCAGAGCCTCATAGACAAGTTCAGGAATGAAGTTATTAATGATCTGAAGCTAGACATAAGCAGAATAGTTAGAGAAATGCTAAGCACCACCCAAGAAAAAACAGATGGTGGAATGGAAGAACAGAAAAAAAGGGGAGAATTGTTTGATGGAGAAAATAGAGAAAGCATAGAATACGTGAAGCAGGTTCAAAGAGATTACCAGGAAACTAAAAACTCTATCGAAAACTGGCATAACAGCTTGAAAGAAACTAAGGACAGATTATCTGAACTGGAGGGAAGATTTGTAATATGGGAGCATGAAATGTAAAACTTCTTAAAAATAACAAAGAAACAAACAGCAATACTACAAAGACTAGAGGATGATAAGAGGATCCGTAACTTAAGAATTTAGAACATAAAAGAAGAAGTAGGGATACAAACAAATGAACTACAAAAGCTACTCACAGAAATAATCCAGGAGAATTTTCCTAATTTAGCAAAAGGTAAAGATACTCAGTTGTATGAAGCATACAGAACCCCAGCCACCTACAACCCAAACAGAGCTACACCCAGGCATATAATAATTAAAATTCCAGAAATCCAATACAAGAACAGAATATTAAAGGCCGTCAGAGACAAGAAACAGATCACTTACAAGGGAACACCCATCAGAATTACAGCAGATTTCTCGGCACAAACCATCAAATCACGAAGAGCGTGGGGGGAAATAATTCAAGCTATGAAAGATAATAACCTCCAGCCAAGATTGATATATCCTGCACAACTATTCCTGGAAATTGATGGAAAAACAAGGTGCTTCCAGGATAAAGAGGACCTAGGGGAATATGCAACCACCAATTCAACTCTACAGAGCATACTGCAGGATATTCTGAAAAAGAAAAATACGAAGAATCCAGAAATAGTGGCAGAGAGGCCACAATGAATGGAGCAGAAAACTAAATGAAGACAAACTGACAACTAATGACAGAAAAAAGAGCTCAACAGAAATGAGGCAGAGAAGATTGGATGATAGGAACAGCTATTTTGGAGAAAATGACGTCTTAATAGGTAATACTGATTTAGTATCATCTTGTTTTGAAGTCTCATCAAGCTTTTGTTCTTCTGTCTCCATTGATCTAAACAGGTTGTATCTTATTGGATTTTATTATGTATGATAGTATAAGCAAAAACTTTTATAGACAAGGAGATTATACAGAAACCATTGTTCATTTTCTGTTGATTCTAAATACCCTGTAATACTGTCATTCTCTTAAATGGTTTTACATTGTTTTGATATATTTGATGCTACAGTATACAAAGTTATACCCAAAGATTTCAAGGAACAAGACAATATGGTAACTACTTTTATGTCGGGATTATCTTGTGGTGAAACACTATTTTGCTTAAATGGTTATATTTTGATCTGTGCTGTTTTGCTGTCATGCTCTTTTATCTCAATCTCCACTTTATTATTTACTTTTTTATTTTTATCCTTTTAATTAAGGGAAAAATAAATAAAAAAATAGCAGGATATATTATAGTAACCCACTTTGACTTTCCATTATCTTGATTTAAAGCCCTATATTGCTCTCACCATCTTGTTTTGACTGATGTCCCTCTATTCTGTTTTGCTTGATAGTACCAGGTTCAAAAGTTTAGGCAACAGCTGTGAAGATAGTGGGATTCATTATGACGACCATTCTGGTTGACTATTATCTACTTTTGAAGACCTATAATGTCTCCAATGTTTTAGTTTTGCCGGTTTTGTTCTTTACTCTTTTGTTCAATTTTATTATAACTGATGATATAGGCAATTCTATTAGAGATAGCGGGAGGCATTATGGTAACCATTGTTGATCACCTTGTATTATGCTTTTACATTATCTATTATGTCCACCCTTTTGATTTGACTGACTCTGTTCTGTTATGTCACATTTGGTTCTACTCTCTTCCAAAAAAGTAGTAAGAACTGTGGGAGCAACACACCCCAAAATGTGTAATTGTCATTGTACAAAACAGAGGAAAAGAAAGTGCTCTAAATGATATAACTGCATGTATATTTAAGTATATAAGGTAGATAATGATATCACTGAGTTTTGTTGGATCATTGAACAGAACTGTTTGTAGTCTCACTGTTGGAATGTCCACTTTATAAGCCTTAATTTTGTATCTTGAACAATTATTTCTAAGATGACAATATGTAATCCATTAATTAGTGATTTCCTGTTTATTTTTTTCTGTAAATCTGTATAACTTGTACCCTTTCTCTGCTTGTTTTCTTTTTCTCCTTAAATAAAATTTAAAAAAAAATCAGACTCTAGAAGCCTGCCCCCATGACTGAATGAGGCTTTTGGGGGGATATTCAGACACAAATCATAACAAAAAGTATATAAGAATTGAAATCATAAATTTGCTTGATTTCCTCCAAGGCTCCAAATGTTAGAAAAAAAATTCCCGTTTGTTATCATATGATTAACAGCACACAATAGATACATTACACATTTTGGGTAATACCAATTAGCCATACAAAGTATAATTTTGTTGGAAGCATATTTCTTTCTCTCCTTTTTTATTTTGTAGTGCTGGGAGCCAACTCAAGCATGTGCTCTACCACTGAGCTGACCCATAGCCTGCAAGGACATCTTTTCAGAAAGAAAAGAGCCAGCCTTTCTTTTTCTATTAGCTCCCAGGCCCAGGGAAAAACCAGAGGATGCATGGTTGGGTAGGGACAGGGCTTTTTATCAATTCTGTCCCAATTTTCTACACTTGTAACAGTGGTGAGATGAAGTAACAGGGGGAAATGGGAAGAAATTCTGCCGCAGAATCTGCTGGATTCCAAGCCTGAGGGCCAACCCCATAGGTCATCTCCTACCAACAATGGTGGGTAAAGATCTGTAGCTAGCAGCCCAGCAGTCTGCCCTACAAAGGGTTAGAAGTCAAGAACTGGAAATCAAAACCATCTTTGTAGGCTGGGTATGGTGGCACATGCTTTTATAATCTGAGCATTACAGAGGCTGAGGCAGGAGGATCCTTGAGAGTTCAAGACCAGCCTTATCTACAAAGTAAGCTCAAGGCCAGGCTGAACTGCATAGTGAGACACTGTCTCAAAAAAAAAAAAAAAAAGTATGGCCATCTGCGAGAAAGCTATGGCAGATTGAATTACTGTCCAGAAGCAGTGGTGCCCTCTCCCTGAGAACAGTTTCTTTCTTTCTCATTCTGTGGTGCTAAGCTTACCATCTGTCAGGCTGAGAGCCATAGGGTGTCCTAGGACTCCAAGCATGGTGACTCAGGATGGACTGGCGCATTGAGAGAAACCATCCTCTTGAATGACTAATGATGTTGAACATTTTTTCATATATTTATTTGCTGTTTGTACTTCTTCATCTGAGCGTATATTCATCTCAGATGCTCATTTTTGGATTGAGCGTTTAAATTTGGGGAGTCTAGTTTTTTCAGCTCTTCATATATGTTTTAAATATTAG